ATGAAAAGGAAGTAGTTCTGCTCTCATAGCAAACAAACGTGACCAAGGGCTATCAGGAACTCTATGATTAATATCTCCAGCCATCAGACAGACACAGATGATGGGCCAAGAGGCTGGGTTAAAGCCTTGCTGTCATTAGGTCATGAAGGAGGCCACAGCTTTGAAACCCTGTGGGGTTATGAAAAGTGACACTGTGGTAGGAACAGTGCTTCTAGAAGAGTGATTGCCCTTGTGAAAAGATCCGAGGTAGACATCTCGGGGAATCTCGAATTGGACCCAACCATTAGATCCTCAGGACCTGATTTAATTCCCTGTTTATTAGAAATGAAGTAGTTAACTGTTAACTTTTCCTTCCCCCTTCCCACTTCCCTCTTTCCCAAAATAAAGAGGTGTGCTAATTTTCTTGAGCACAAGGTGGCAGGATTCAGCTTCTCTTCAAAGCCAGTAAGTGCTGAAGTGTGCTTGCCACAGATAAGGTGAAAACGCTTCCATTGTTCAGGAGTGGAAAATCAGCTATGATCAAGCAGCTAGAGAAATCTGCAAATACGTGGAACACTGGAAATAACAAAAGCCAGGCTAGGACACTCAGAGGGTGCCTCGTGTTTGGAGGAAATTCAGAAAAGGGCTGTGCGAAAGACGATTTTTGTTATTGACATGTGGGAACTCAAGGAAGAGAAGCAAGTACATGTCGGAACACTTATTAGCCCAGCAGATGTTGGAGACTTGAGTTCATATGCTTGCTGCAGGTCACGGTGCAGCGATGTCTCTCTCACCACAGTTCTAGGTTGAATGCAAGAAAATCTTCATGGGGGAAGTTTCATGGGAATCAGGATGTTTCTCTGGAAAACAAAAGGTGTCTGATAAAATCAGGAGTTCCCACGAGCTGTCCAAGCTCTCTCTCTTAAAACTGTTAAAAATCCCCTGACTGTAAGCAAAATGTAAGCAGTTTATTTCTAGGCAGCTTTGGTATTGGTGCTTAAGACTGGTCTTTCAGTATGCACTCCTTTGGACAGGAGAGGGTATCCTACGACACACACAAATCATGTGGCCCTTGCCTTTTCCCAGACTCTGTGGTACAGTTTATTATTTCCCCACCTAAATAACAGTACTCTCACAGGGATTCTCTGAGTTTTCCACTCCCACCTCTTTCCCAGAAATCCAAGTTTGCACCTTTTCAGATATTTACTACAATTTCTATACTATGGTACAAAGATGTTTTACGTATGGTGTATGAGTTAAAGTTGCAGAAGGGCCATAATAGTAGAATTCAGATAGTATTCAGAACAGTAACCTCAAGAAAGCACTTTGAATATTTCAGCATCTTCATGTTTTGCTTCTAGTATATTCAGATTGAATGTCTTAACTTTCTCTATGGCAGTAAAAAAAGTGGTCAAAGAAATGTATATTGCAAGGAAATGGAATATCTGGGAGGTGGTTAATTTGTTTTCACCTACCTAAGGTAAATCTGATTCTACTTTACCTGCTCTGTAGAGATACTCACCTCACCTGCTCTGAGAAGGCTCTGTTGCTCAAGCTTCGAACATTAATCTTCCTTGCTGTAAATCAAGTGCATTACTTCTTGTCCTATCCCATAGACATGGAAAAAATTTATTACTTGTCCCTTTGCATACCCGTTTACATATTTCAGGAGTGTTTCTGCACTTCCCTTTAGTCTTTCATGCACTGAAGAATGACAGTTCTTTCAATCTTGACCCGGAGTCCATCTTTTCTAGCCCTTTGATCACACTCTATAGCTTTGTCATGTTGTCAGTCTTTATTCTAGTTTTACCACCTTCAGGATGATGTTTGCTCCCATCGCATTACCAGAAAGGTACTCAACCCTAGTGGTTTAGTTGTGGCTCTCCTTTAAGTAATGGTTCATAGGAAGCATTTGAGCACTTCTTTCCTACTTTCTTTAATCTGTGAGAAAAAGCATAGAAGAATGGTGTTACCTTTATAAATAAAACTTATTTATGTAGAAATAAAGTCACAATTCATAACATGATTTTTTTTTTTTTTTTTACAGCTATTCTTTTGTAAATGTAGAATTAAAAGTCTCAAAGCATTTAGCTGTGCCTATTGAAAGAACTGCTGTTTCCCCCAGTAGGCCAGCACTGGTATTTCTTGGTGGACCGCTCCCTAGTTTCATTTTGGCAACTTTGGTGGCCCTAGTACACTTCACTTTCAGTTTGTTATCCTCCCACGTTCTCCCTCCAATCTATGTTGATAAAATACTAATTTAGGGGGGTAATATATTTTTAACAGAATTTGGTATTTTACCAACATGTTACCATTAGTATTACTACCCACCTGATCACTTCTGACATTGTCATGTAGAAATCTGTATGGGTTAGTCCCCGTCCTTCTAAGAAATGATTACTGTGCAACACAGCAACACTCTTGTGAGAAGCATCTTTGAGTTGTAGGAAATACAAAGTGGCATTTATCACAAGAGGTGATGCTCTGGCGTTATTTAACACTTACCTGCAGCCTTATGATTTCAAGGTCTTACCTGCAGAACTTCACTCTTCCAACACCATTGAATTATCTAATTAGCCTGTTTGACCCAACTGCATGGCTTTATCTGAAACTTCCGTGACAACTTCTCAAGTTTTCCAGAATTACAGAACATGGAGACATAAGATATCTGCGGAGTCCAGTATGTTGCCCATATATGATTAGAAACCCATGAGCTTATTGTCATAAAATCACAAGGAGAATTATGATGAGTATTTATTGCCTTAAAGGGCTGATGCTTTTCTGTTCATCCAGGAGACAGAGAGGGGAATGAAGCATATTTTTCAAAGTTGCAGGCAGACTTGGCTAGAGAACAGTAATGCAGGTTTTGCAGCAACTTACAAGGTTTCAAAATTTTACTTGTGTCCTGCATTAGAGACCTTGCTCAAGCTTTTTTGAAAATGGACACATATTACAGTTTATGCTACCAGTTTTTCTGCCTTTCTTTTTCCTCTTAAACATTTTCCTCTAAATCCTTTATAAATCCCAAACTATTTTGCCTCTATAAAATTGCTCCATGAAACCTTTATCCTACTCACTATCCTGTTTACAGAAGTATTTTATTGTAAAGCTATTCCCCTTTTTTTCCAATTTCTTATTACTTGAAGACAAAATGCCTTTCACCTGAGTAATATTTTTTATGTTTGTGCCACGTTTTTATGCCGCATCATGTCGCTTTGTTATTCCTTGGGACTCTCCTGATCTTCCCTGTGTTTCATTTAGAATGGACAAAAGTGCTGAACTTGATGAGGAGATATATTCTGAGTAGAAGAATATAAGATTTTTACTTAAATTTCAAATAAATTTGGATTAAATACGATAGCACGATTGACAATATTTTCAGTTATGTCTCTTCCTCTAGTCTTCACTCATTGCCTATAAGGAGGTATAAATCAGGGTTTCAGCTAGGTATGACTATGACTTTCTTGGTAGGATGCTCTCTGAAAGCAAAACCAGCCCTGCCTGTGACTATGCCAGGCCCACGAGTGCACCCAGGGAGAACTGGATTTCTCTGTAAATGCAAAAAGAACGGAGTGTGCTTTCAATTAATAAGTGCCATGCCAAATTGATTCCTGAGCGCTTTCTAACAGCAGTATTGACTACCTGTTCCCTACCTTTGTAACGGAAACTCTGCAACTTTTCTTCCTTCAATTCACCCTGGTTTGCTCATTTCAAAACGCCCAGCTCAGGTAATTAGATAAGAAAGGGCTGATCCACCGGTCTTTGGATGTAAATAGCACAGAGGTAAGTACACGACCTGCCAAGGGGAAGCAAGGGCTGCCTGTCACTCACCAGGACAGAAGGAACACCACCCCAGGAACGGCAAAGGCTGTTTTTTTGCAAAGATGCAAAAACCCCATCATTATTAGGCCCGATTTCCCAGAGCAGCCGCTCTTCGCACCCGCGAACGGGCGACACGCGTGTGTCGGACACAGGGCGACGGCACCCCCTTGCCCCATTCCCACCCCACAACGGGCACCGCGAGGGGTTAACGACCCGAGC